ACGATGATGGGAATCCTCCGGCCACACTCCTCCGCCTTAATAGCTCCTGGAGCCCGATGGGCGGAGCTAGGACCTGCCCCGGGACCCTGTTCAACTCCCTTCCTTGGAAGTCTCCCCTCCGCGTCGGGAATCCTGGAACACATTTGATCCCGAACCACGAGGATCCCCCAACATCATCCCGGTATTCAGCTGTTCCCCGACAGCGCTGTCCCGCAATACTACGGAATTCCCTACAAGGCCAGTACCACATTTCAAGCACAACATGCTTCTCCCTCCCCAACACTAAACCGACTGCCCTCAGCTGTTCCCTGACAGCTGGGTGGGGCCAACATCTGACCGTTGCAGCGCCTCTAACCTGGCACCCGTTCCCTACCGCCCACTTAGGGAGGTGTGGGAGAGGCTTCTAAGGATAGCCATTCAGGGTCGGTGCTGAGACAGCCCTGATCTTCGGCATCCTTCCTCAAGGCAAGGCTTCCAGGATTTTTTTAACCACTCCTTAACGCCCTTGTTCCAGAAGTGTTCACTGAAAAACTGATCATAGCTTCCCCACCAAGGGCAGGGCAAGTGCAGTACCAGGCTGACTCCTTATGCCCCAATGATTTGGCCAGCTCCCTCAGCACTAACTGGGAGCTGGCACACGGGTCTTCTAGTGGCAACAGCTAAGCCAGAGCTGAACCTGGCTGCTGGGTGCATGCTGCCATCCCTGGGTTGCCTGGCCCAGGTGCCAAGTAAAGGGTCTAAGCCTGACATTCAGGCCTCTGCTGGAGTGACACAGAAAGCAGGGGGCAGGGTTGGAGCTACAAACTGCTACCTGTGCCCCCAGCCATCTTCAGAGCAAGCGCCATCTCCTAGACACCAGTGGGATACCACAAACCTAGCCAAGCGTGTGAGGTGAATGCCCAGGGGACAGCCTTCAGCAGAGGCAAGAAGCCTAAGGTCATGTCCCCCCTCTGCGTCTCCCCAAAGTGTGACTTCAACCAACCACTATCCTCCCTCTGTGCTTCAGTCTCCTCCTCTTCCCTTTGCATACCCTCAAGTGCCCTTCACTGGTAAGGAGGCTTGTGGATAGGTCCAGCAAAGCCCAGAGTACAGATCTAAGTAGGACTGTGCAAACTCTGGGTAGGAGAAACAGAGAAGGAAGCCTCAGCCCCAAGCATCCCTTGGACAATTCCCCCTGTTCAGGCAACTTCTCCATTCCTCAGAGTCCACCGTCTCCTCACTGCTTTGAGTTTTCTACTTTGAGGTTCTGTAAAGTCTCCCACAAAGTCAGGCTTTATAAGGCTGGGTCCTTCACCTTTCCCTCCACAGTGTCCAGCTCCTTCACCAAAATTTTATTTCTTGATTTCCCAAGCCATCCTCCCCTGTAGAGACCACCAAACATGGTGTTCAGAAGTCTAGCTCTGTTGCTCTGTGGCTGTGGCAAAGCAGATGACCCACAGTTTCCTTATCCGTAAAACAGGAACACAACAATCCTTAGCACCATGGAATTGTTTTGAGGTGTAAGTGAGATGAAACCTGAGTACACAGCAAGCACTAACTTATGGGCAGGGTTATCAATGTTGCTGGACAAATTGAAAATCTAGAATGTAGACTCTGGATCTGCACTATCCAATGGGATCACCACTAACCTTGTACTAGCTGTATTTCAAGTGCTCAACAGCCATACGTGGCCAGCGGTGACCCTGCAGGACTGTACTGTTATCTAAAGAACATTTCCATCATCTCAGAAAGTCCCCCCAGAAAGTGCTGCTCTAGATAAAACACATCATTAAGAGCAAGGATTCTGGAGCCTAACTTTCCTGAGCTTTCAAATCCCAACTCGACATGCTTCCGGCTGTATGACCTCAGACATGTTAAACTCTCTGTGCCTCAGTTTCCTAATCTGTAAAATGGGGATAATAACATTATTGTGAGGATGTAAATGAGTCTGTTGTTTGTAAAGTGCTCAGAACAGTATCTGGCTCCTAATAAAAGTTCAATAAGCCTATGTTAAAATCACCATCAGGCAGGGTGAGGAGGAACTAGATCTGAAAGGCACCTTGGCCCAGCCCCGAGTAAAACAGAAATGACCCCTAAGTGGCAGGACAGTTGTCAGCCTACTTTGTAAAGTGACTTGAAACACTTGCAGGAAAGCAGAGTGGTTGCCCGCCCCCCACTCCTCCATCCCTCTGGGCCCCTGGAAAGAGTCAGGGCTCCAGCCTGGCCTGCCCCTTCTCCCCTTACCATCTCCGTAGGCTGGCCCAGGGTCCTCAGCCCAGGTGGGTGGGAAGGGCACTGGAAGAGGTAAGCGGGGCCGGCGGGAGGTCAGGAAGCCACTGGGCGGCATCCCGGGCTCACGGCACAGGGGGCTGGGGGGCCGCTCAGTGGCTGAGGTGGCCAGCAGCTCTTGCAGGATGTTGATGGGTGAGACAGTGAGCTCCCAGTTGGTGATACCAAAATCCCGCAGGTGGGCCCGGGCATGGCTGGAGAGGCCGGCCCGAGTGTCAAAGCCAGCCCCGCAGAAGTCACAGCGCATCAGGCTGAAGGTGCCCGGGTCGAAGTTAGCCACTGTGGAGAGAGAGGACATGGACTGCCTGGGTGAGGGGTGACTCTCCAGCCCCAGCTCTCCCTGTTCCTGGGGCTGCTCACCCTCAGCACATCACACAGCCAGTGCTGTTCCTTACCTGGATGCCTCCCTTGCCCTTGGCCTGCGTCAGCTCACTCCAAGAAGCCTTCTCTGTCTGACCTTCCAGTTTTCTCCCCTCACACAGTTCAAAGCGTCAGGGACCCCATCCTCAGAAATACCTCTCCAGTGTGGATTTGCAATTATCTGGGTGACTGTTTGGTGAATACGTTTCTTTTGTCTAGAGCTCATGTCTATTTTTGCTCACGATCACCCCAGTGTTATAAATTAAATCTTTGCTGAATGAAGAAAAGGACAAACAGATGAGATGCCTTCCTCTGGGAGTCTGCTGAGACCACCCCCTCTTCCCCAGGCAGAGTCAGGGACCTTCTCTCGGCTTCCCCAGATCCCTGGTTCCCCGAGCTTTCCCCATCACCGCCCTGGTTACTTAACATTGTAATTCCCTCATTTTGTGGCTGTCTGCCCCTCTGCCCATTCCCCACAGTGTACACATACACACGCTCTCAACACCATACCAGCACTTCCCCAAGTGGGCTCCATGTCTGCTAGCCTCAGAACCACCCAGGGCACTTGTGTTGGAAACAGACCTCTGGAATCAGAACCTTGGTGCTGGGAATCTACATACCTCACAGGGGTTCTGAAGCTGGCCAGGGCCCCACCACCTCTGCTCCTGGGCTGTGTACCCCAGGAGAGTAGGAACGGCTGTTCTGCTCTCTGTTGTCTTCCCAAGTGCTCAGAACAGAGGGGACCTCGCTCAGTAAATATTTGTTGAAGGAAGGAATCAATGAAATTCCCTGCTTGGGGCTGACTCCTCTGCCCACACTCCTTCCTCCAGCTGTTGGAAGGGCCAGGGCATTGGGGTGTCCCCACACCTCCTCCGATGCAGTGGCTTTTGCCGCAGCTCCCAGACTTTCTGGGAGGAGAGGCCCTAATTTCACCCTGCTTGGCACTACAGGAAGATTCAGAGTGGGGGCTGGCTGGTTCAGAACTCAGCTGCCCAGCTGTGCATCTCCCGGGCCTCAGAGGGAGATGGGTGCCAGAGCGAAGCTGCCCTACCTTTTTTCTTCTTCTTCTGGAAGGAGAACCTGCGCTCGATGGCTTTCACCTCCTCGGCGGAGATGAAGTGCCGCACATTGTAGCTGACGCCCACGCGGTTCAGGTGGCCTCGCACATGGTTGGCCAAGCCGATGCCATTGTGGAAGCGATCGGGGCAGTAGGGGCATTTCCGCTCCTCATGCTTCAGTGCTACGGCTGGGTCCCCATCCAGGAATGGGTCCAGCCCCAGAGGGCCACCCAGCGGTGTGTCCAGGAGCAGGAAGTCCAGGGGGTGGGCACCCCCCAGCCCCAGCTCCTCGGGCTGCAGCCTTGGGGGGGCCCTGGCTGCCGCAGCCATGACCTGCGGGCTGAGCTTCGCCACCAGCACGACAGGCACCATCCCACAGAGCTGCTGCTGCTGCGCCCATGAGGCCTCAGCTGTCTGCAGGGCTTCTCGGAATGTCTGCTTCAACTCCAGGGCTGACTGTGGGATGAGGCCGGGGGTGGCTGGCAGTGGAAAGACCCGACTTTCGGGGGAAAAGTCCACTTCTGAGGCTAGAGGTATGTCCTCCTCCTCATCCTCTTCGCTCCAAGGGTGCCTCTGGTCCCCTGGTTGTGCTGGGAGCCCCTGCAGGTAGATGGCACTCTTGCTTCTCCTGGGCTGTAAGGAGTAGGGGGCAGATGCTAGTGGCGAGGGAAAGGCTGACCTCCCCAGGGGCCTCTGGCCTGAGCTGTGTGGGAGTGGCTTTGACAGTGGGAAATCCCTCATGCCCAGCTGCTGGCAGCCTGGGCCAAAGGCCAGGCTGGGGTCGTATCCAGCAGGATTCCCCCGCCACGTGGGGGCCAAGAGCGGCTCAGCTTTGCCAAAGTAGTCCTCGGTGGCATCAGGGAAGCGGGTGAAAGCATCCTGGCTGGTGCCCGGCCTGCTGGCAGGGTCCTCCTCGAAATCCTCACCATCCTCCTCCCAGTGGGGATGGGCATGCACGAGCCGCATGTGCTCCCTGAGCAGGCTCTCACTGGGTGCGGGGAAGCCACAGAAAACGCAGGCACTGAGGCCCGAGGAGTCTCTGTAGGGCTGATAGGTGAGGGAGGCAGCATTGGGGCCTGGGCTGCCAGCCCTGCTGCTGCCCCCAAAGGGCTCCTTGGCAGCCTGGCGCTGAGGCTCGCGCACGTGCAGCTTGGCATGCTGCACGAAGGCCTTGGAGGAACTGGTGCCAAAGATGCACTTGGGGCACTGCAGCCGTGCCTCCCGGCCCTCGTCGCCTGGGACCTGCTTCAGCTTCTGGATCTCCTCGATAATCTTCTCCCGGGAGGCCTGGTGTAGCTGCCGGTGCTGCTCAAGGGCACCAGGGTCAGCGAAGGCCCAGCCACACTCGCCACAGGCCAGCGGGGCCAAATCAGCTGGGGGCTCCTGGCCCGGGGCTCGGCGGTGCTGGCTCATATGCTCCAGAAGGTGCTCCTTCTGCTTGAAGTAGATGCTGCATTCAATGCATGGGAACACGGCTGGCTCCTCGTCCTCATCCTCGTCTGGGCTGGCCATCCCCTCAGCCACCTCCTCCAGCAGCTCACACAGATAGGGCCTTGTCCGGACAGGGGGCAGCAGTGGCTGCAGCCGCTCCACAGACGCCTCTGAGTTCACTGTCCAGGTCTGCGTGGCCACCTCTGAGGCCGACCTGGGCAGGCTCCACTCGGTAGGCTGGGCCAGCCCCTCCAGGTCTACCAGGTGCTCTCTGGTGCCCACCACTGGCACATCCAATGTCTTCGTGGTATCTTCCACTGGCATGAGCACCGTCCTGAAGGAGGTGAGGGGTGGCGGCTGGGGTGGCAGGTCCAGGTGCAGCCCTGCGTCCTGGAGTGGGGCCTGCTCGTCTGCGTCTTGGAGCCAGTCGAACCTGGGGCGGCCCCGGGGGACCTTCTCCAAGAGCTTCGATTCACCCTGGTGGTACAAGAACCTTCTAGAGCCCTCGAGCTCAGTGTGGGGCTTCACAGTTCTTATAATAACCGAGTCCTCGAACCTCTGCTCAGATGGGATGCCCTCCCTGGCCTCTTGAACCAGAGGGTGCTCCCAGGGCCCCCGGCCATCGGGGGGGCCAGGGAAGTGGCCCAGGAGATGGGGTGGTGAGGAGCCCGGCTGGAAGTCCAGGCTGCCTCCATCCCAGCAGCTGCAAGGAAGTGCCAATGGGGACAGGTTAGCCATGGCCTCAGTTTCCTTTCCTCGGGCAGGGGAGGGGGTCCCAGGCAGTCTGAGCCAGGCTCCAGAGACCCAGCCCAAGGGCACCACATTAGATGGACTGAGAGTGTGGGGATGTGGGTGGGAGGTCGGGGGAGTCCATGTGGGCCCTTCCAGAGTAATTGGGTCAAAAACTAGATTCAGCTCCCAGGATGCACCTGTGTGTGTAGTCTAGCCTTGCTGCATTGTGGGAGAGTGTGTAGAGACCACAGCAGGGGTCACAAGTAGCGTTCCCAAGTCTGGTGGCACAGTCAACTCTCATCTGTCCCCTGGGAGGGTCCAAGGCTCTGACCTGTGCTCCAGGCTGCTTTCCTGTCTTGGACCTCCCCAAATTGAGGTGATTTAGTTCACTTAGTTTCATCTTCCCAGCAAATCTGCTGAAACTGCCGCATAAACAACTCAAGGGAATGTACCTTTCTCCCAGCATCTCCCCACTAGGAAGGGCAGAGTCAGGAGAGGTGCAAAGTCCCTGTTCAGCCTGTGGCCCCAGTGACCCTGACCTGCTTTAGGGGTGAGGGGAGGCGAGGCAACCTCACTGAGCCTCAGTTTTTCAATCCTAAAAATGGGGATGAGTCCCAAGAACCAGGAGTTTTCGTGCCCTCCTGCGATGACTAAGGAGCTTCCTCATACCCATAATCAAAGACAAGTTAATACACTGCAGGTGCTTATTTAAATGATCGCAACCTCGACCCTTCAAACGGGGGCCTTGATCCAGTGAAGGGTAGGGTAAATATGACACAACTCAGTGCTGGGAAATGCTTCACTTGGCCTGATGCCTGGCTCCCAGTAAGCCCGTGACCAGTGTGGGTTCTTATTATGACTGTTCTTGATCAATCTCCCTCATTTTCAAGTTCTTGCCTCCATGAGGGGCGATGGATCATGCCCATGGAACAGATGTGGAAAGGGGTTCCACTGAGAGGCCAAGTGGAAATCACGGGGTTACCTCTCTTAGCTCCATCAGTGATGTGCAATACTAACAGACCATTCCCCCAGGGCTATGGCAAAGATTCAGTGGGGTAAACTTGTGCTGAGATTCTTGTTAATAGCAAGTGTTAAATAACTGAGAGCTGTTAATAATCCCAATATGGATGTTATTACATATTATCACCTGCCAAGCCATTTAATAAAAGGTTGCTGCCACCAGCACTGTTGTTGATTCCTGCTCCAGCTCAGCATCCCTTGAGTTCCTCAGGACAAGATTGTGAGATGCATCTTAGGAACTCCATTTTACAGATGAGGAAACTGAGACTCAGAGAGGCTGAACAGTATTCTAAGGGTCACCTGGCAGAGACAGGACTCCAAGGGTCCAACCTCTGGGTTCCTGGCCCCTGGCCCCGCTCCTGGCAGGGATAATGAGAGTTGACTGTCTGTGTTCATCCCAGTCCTCCCTCCACCCCCTGCAAACGCCCAGGGGCTTGCCTGCAGGGAGCCACCTCCTCCTGCCTGGCCTCCTGATTCCCACCTGTCCCCTTCTCACTCCTGGGGGCTTCTCTTGGGCCTAGGCATGTCCTGCTTGCCCCCCTGCCCTCCCTGAGGTCAGGGCCAGCGTGGCACTCACCAGCTGCTGATCCGATGGGTGGCGGAGGTGGCACGGGGGAGGGCTTCGCTGAGGCCGGGATGGGGTTGCCCATCTGCAACAGAGAGGGGAGACCCTGAGGGGCTGGGGCCCTTCACAGCACCCCAACTCTGGGAGCCCTACCGGGCTCCTTGGAAGGGCCCGGCTGGCTCCCCCCACCTCTCCCCTGAGAGGCCTTTGGCCTCTGTGCTCCTGAGCCCTGAAAGGGGTTTCTTTGGAGGAATCCCCTTTAGCTTTCTTAGGGGACTACCAGGGCTTTCTGCCTTCAACCCTCCTCTCTTTGCTCCCACCTGGCAGCCAGGATGATTTTTTAAAAAGTCACATCCTGGTAAAAACTCACCTGGCTTCTTATCATACCTACAATAAAAACCAGATTCCCAACCACCACCTACCAGGCCCTGCAAGGTCAAACCTCTGCAGGTCTTTCCAGCCTCACTTCCCTCTCCTCCTTGCCTCTCACTCACTCTGCCCAGACTCCTTGTGAAGTCTCAAGCCCACCTAACTCTTTCTGGCCTCAGGGCCTTTGCACTGGCTATTCCCACTGCCTGAGAACCCTTCCCTGGCTACCTGCTAAATTGAGCCCCTAGGATTTGGATTTTCTGTCTCATTACCCACTCCCTTCTTTCCTTCCTTCTTTCCTCTCTTTCTTTCTCTTTCTTCTTTTTCTTTCTTTCTTTCTTCTTTTTCTTTCTTTCCTTCCTTTCTTTTTTCCTTAACACTCTGAAATTGCCCATGTTCCCTGCCAGCACATAAGCCCTCTGGGGCCTCATTCACTGAAGCATCTCCTCGTCTGGCACATGGCAGGTGTTCAACCAATGCCTGCCAGATGAAGGGTGAGGGGCCCTTTAGCCTGAGCTGTGGAGGGCCCATCCCTGTCTTCCAGACCCCCTTCCAGGCCTCCAATCTAGAATAACATCCCCTCCTAGGAATCCTCACACAGATAGAGCCAACTCTCCATTATCCGCCTGTGGAGCCAACGCCTGGAGCGACCACAGGAATCCTGGCCTGCACCTCCTCTGCCTGCTGCACCCGCCTGACTCAGGCGAGCATGCCAATCGGGGCACAGGCCAATTGCCTGGGCCAAGGTTAACATACTGGGGGAACTTGTGCCCCATCCAGAGCCCAACAGATGCAATTGCTGGATTAGCTTCAATTTGAGGATGGTCCAGAAAGAGGGCTAGTGCTGGGGTGAGGTCTTTTTCAAATCCCTTAATGTCCAGTTGGCTCAGGAAATTAAGAGCTGACTGTCAGGGACCAAAGAACTCAGAGCTGGTGAGAATGGGGGGTGAGGGGGGTCCATAAAAATGTGATCACTGCCAAGGGTCTTTCTTCTGAGCCTGAGAGAAGGGTTGTGACTGTCGTGTGGCCTCTCGAATTGAGTGTGGTGATAGTGGGGGGACAGAAGTTTGCATCATTTAGAACAGTTTTTCAACCTTGGTGCTACTCACATTTGGGGCTGAATCATTCTCTACAGTGGGGGGCATCCAGTGCCTTGTAGGATGTTCAACAGCATCCCGGGCCTCCACCCACCAGATGCCAGTAGCTAACACCCTGCCCCACCCCGTCCGCTGTCCCTGCAATCATGACAACCAAAAATGTCTCCAGACATTGCCAAAGTGTCCATTGGGGCAGAATCATCTCCATTTGAGAAGTCTTAGGGTATACTGATGGGGAGGAATGCCAGGTCAGGTGTGTGCTTGGATGCAAGGGCCGGTGTCAGGGTGGGAGGATGGAGTGGACTGAGTATTGGACAGGGTGTGAGGGTTGGGAAAGCAAGGCCTGGACCAGGTAAGGGAGCGAGACTCCAAGAAATGGGTCTCTGGAGAACACAAGAATCACAGACGTGAGCTTCTTGGGAGAGGGCAGCCAGTTCACTGGCAACAAGCCCCAGCACAGCCTAGAGGCGCGAGTCTGAGGGTCTGGGTGTCCTGATTCTGAGATTCTGGGACCCCAAGCTCCTGAGATTCCGAGTGTCCCAGATTCGATGATTCTGCGATTGCTGTTGTCTAAGAATTCCGCGAGCCAGGGGGCCGTATTGGCCTCTTTGTTTGAGCGGCTCCAGCGAGGCTCCTATTTTTAGTGGCAGCGACTTTGGAGGAAGCAGGCCAAGCAGGGCCCTGCATCCGAGACACTTGGGGGCTGGGGGCTCTTCCAGGGGCCTCCTCAGCCTGTAGGGTCCAGAAGTTCCTATGCGTCAGACAAGGTGCCTTGGATGGAGCCCTTGGCAGTGGCTGTGCCAGGTGGCCCTCATTGACTCCTGCCATTTGGGGTCCACAGAAGGTTTGAAAATGAGAGACGGAAAATGAGAAGGGTGTCCATGAGCAGCTTGAACCCCAAGCCAGGTGGCTTGGCAGAGTAGCCAAGAACCTAGACACAGGAGCCAGAGAGATCCGAGTTCAAGGCCAAGCAGGAATCCAAAGGGCATGCCTTCCCCGCTCTAAGCCTGTCTCTTCCTCCGTATAATGGGAACAGCCACTGCCCCACGTTCGTGGGGCCAGCAACAGGTGCCAAGGAAGATCACACAGTAAATGCTCAATCCAGAGAGTCGGCGGTGGGGGGAAAGAAGGGAGGTGGGAGTGCCACCAGGGGTAGGGGGTGGGTAGGGGTTCAGGGCTGGCTCAGAGATGTCCCAGGCTGGAAGCTGGAGGCTTGACAGAGAACCTCAGGCCCACTCACTCCATGCTCTGATTTCCTTCTCAGCTTGGGGCCCCATGAGGGCAGAAATGATGCATTGTTCATCCCCTAGCCCTCTGGTCCCAATGCGAGGCATGCATCAGACTTTTCATCAATGCACGGGGACCGTCTCAGCCCCCCAAGCTTTGAGTGCATACAGGAGGCCAACCAGAGAGGACAAACCCTTGGGCAGGGGGCTGCAGGGAGGCTGTGGGGACTCCAGGCCAACCGCTATGATGGAGGACAGAGGAGTCAGTGGATGCATCCAAGTCTAGATGGAGGAATTCGGAGGTAGCCCCTCCAGGGGTGCCCTTGGGGGGCCCCAAGGGCTAGGTGGGGATGAGAGAGGGCCCAGGCTTCGGGCGGAACAGCAGCCCCAGAGGCTGTGCCTATTTATAGGCATCACAAGACTCCTAGGGCAGGTGCCTGCTTCGGGGAAGGCGGGTGGAACAGGCCAAGAGGGCAGCGGGGGAGACACTGTGTCCAAAGCCCAGGCCCTCCTTCAACTTCCAGGCTGTGACCCTATGCCAAGTCAAGCCACTCTCACTCCATGCCCCCATTGCTCAGGGATGTCATTAAGGGTGGGTCTGGCCCCTCTTGGCAGCCATTCCCTTCCTCCCCAGACACATGTACTGGACCCTGGCTGATTCCCCAGGGGGAGTGAGGATATACCTACCCACCTACCTACCTTCTCCCTCTCTCCAGACCTGGGGCTTCTGCCAGGTAGAGTAGAGTGGCCAATGCCTCAGGACCAGATCCAGAGAGGGCCCCAGGACCCAGAGCCTGTTCCCCAGGGCTCCCACAAAGTCAAGGTCCTGGGCCTGTCCTGGCCAGCCACATGGCCTGGAACATGGTCCTGCCAATCTCTGGGCCTTGGTTACTAACAGTTTGGAGAAGAGGATTGCTAAGATTCTCTGAGCGCTGATATTCTGCCCTCAAGGGTCTCACCCTGCCATCCCCAAGCATGACACTTTCAGGTGCCACCAGTCACCTCCACATCATTGCATGTGCGGAGCCCCTGCCTAGATGCCCCCTGCCCTTTTTGCTTGACTCACTGTTCCTCATCCGGAACTCCTGTATGTCTCCTGGCCTGGGCTTCCCCCATGGAAGTTCCAGCAACCACCTAATGGGTGGTCTGTCTTTCTGACCCCAGATGGTGGGGTCCAGTGAGTGCGGGGATGGTATGCTTGGTCACTGGCAGCACACCAGTGCCCTGCCTGGAGGATGTGCTCTGTAAATATCTGAGCATCACCAGCATTGCTAAGGGTGAGCTGGGGCAGGTGAAGGATACTTTGACACAGGGTGGTGGTTAAGGACAATGGCTATCAAGCCAGGTTACTGCCTAGCTGTGGGCCCTTGGACAACTTACTTAACCCTTTTGGGTCTGAGTTTCCCCATCTCTAACCCAGGATAATAATAATCGGTTCTTTTGAGAATGACAAAGATGATCACATAAAAGGCTTGGTGTGTAGGAAACCCCTGACAAGGTGCTTGGAAGTTCCTGGAAACCAAGGCCTTTAGAGCAGTTTGGGTAGATAAAGGGAGCCATGTAGTACATCATCCTGTACTGCACCCACCACTCTCCAGGTAAGCCAGGTTCCTCCTCACCACAGGGCCTTTGCACCTGCTATTCCCGCCAGCGGGCTTGCCCTTCCCACCATTCATTCCACACTCCACTCAAATTCCACCCCCTCAGGGAGGATTTCCCGGGTCCCCCAGGCACAATCCTGGCACTCTGTTTAATACCTTCACAGCATTTGTCACTTCCTGCCCATAGGTTATTAATGTAGTTGCTTATTGTCTGTCTCCCCTACTAGAATGTCAGGTCCCTGAGGGCAAGGACTTTCACTGTTTTTGTTTACAGCTGAATCCCCAGCGCCTAGAATAGAGCGTGGCACACGGTAGTTACTGAGTAGTTTATAACAAATGTTAAGGTGGGGACAATGTGAAGGGCTGGCTGTCATCCCTGACTACCCAGCCACTAGAGGGCACAAGTGGTTCTGGCCCATGTCTCAGGAGCAGGACTCACCAAGACAGTGCAGCAAGAGGGAGCTGGGATAGTAGACTGATGGGAATGGGGCATGCCTGGGGAACAAGTGGGCTCAGGGAAGGGAGCTCGGGGTGCTAAGCTGGGCACCTGGACCCAATTAGGATGCTCAGAGAAGGAAGTCAGGTAGACCTGAGTCAAGTCCCAGTTCTTTGCCACCCACTGGGGGGCCTTGGTCAGCTCAATGTCCCCCTGAACCTCTGTCTTCACCACTGTAAAATGAGAAAGTAAGAGGAATGCAAAGACAAAACTCTGGGCCCAGACCAGAATCAGAATTCCAACTCAGCCCCTGCTGGGCTGGGTGGCTTGGCCCTCCCAGAGCCTCAGGGACCTAGCTGGATGCTCCCCCAGGGTCACAGGGCCCGCCTTCTTACCGGAAATGCCACCTCTGCCATCCAGAATGTCTTGAGGGCCCTCCTTGGTGACAGGCAGGTAATGGGTAGAACGGAAGATGCAACCTTCCCCCTCAGCAACCTCAGCCCCACCTTCAATGTCCTCCCTTGGTGCTGGACCAGGCAGTCTCTCGGGGCCTCGAGGACGATCTGGGGCGGCCAGGCCGCCGGCCAGGGGCCCATCCATAGATGCTCTCTGCTTGGCTCCACTCAGTTGCTGGCCTGGCTCAGCGAGGCATTATAAGTCTAGGGGCAGAGAGACAGGTGCTTAGGGGAGGTAGGAAAGGGGCTCTGCCTCAGTTTCTCCTTCGTTGAAGCCCCAGTCCTCACCCTTGTGGTTCAGTGCCTCAGTTTACCTCCCAGCCCAAGTGAGTAAGTATATGGTGCTAAGGCCCTATCCTCACACATTGTATCCCAACGGCCCCTAACTTCAGCATGCCTCAGTCTCCTCATCAGTAAATCCTCTCTTTACACAGATCCTGTGCTGCCTCAGTTTACCACATTTTACAAGCACACGCAGCCACCTTGTTTTCTTGCAGCATTGATTCTATCACTTCTCCTAGATGCCTCCATTCATCCATACACTGCTGCACTTTCCCCAGTTGTGCCCTCACTTCCATGCACATGCATATCCGGTGCGCATGCCTCAGCACGAATCCCGGCCACTACTACACTCTGATCCTATACTCGGTCTCAAGTCCCCCCATCATTACCCCTGCACTTTTCTCTCTTCAGTTGCCAATATCAGTTACCCCTGCACTTTTCTCACACTCCAACCCTCTCCCCACACACAACCTTAGGGTTCTCCAGCACTAATCCCTTCCCCCTCATACACAGCCTCAACTGACCCCAGCACATTAACCCCTCCGCTTCACCCCAACATTACCCCTCATGCATACTCAACCCATCCCACCCTCCCAAGATCTCTCTACTCTGCGGGCAAAAGGGAAGGATGGGGCTCCTGGTCCAGAAATGAGGACCCTGGGGAGGCTGTGGGGGTGGGGGCTGTCTTCTCCACCTATAAATACCTTCAAGGTAACGCAGAAAGTGAAGGGCAGGAATGAGGCGCCCTCCCCAGGGAGACGGTGGGGAGGCCGAGCCCAGGCAACCGGGGCGGGGCCGGGGCTCCAGGCCTGGCTGCAGGCGCTGCCCTCGGGGGCC